GATGCCTTTGATGTAAGGAAGAGTTATCACTGGTTTTGATTCTTGTTTTTCTGGATTTCTGGTTTCTTGTTTTTGTTGTGATTTTCTTTCTTTCTGTTGTTGTTTGCTTGTTGTAGTTCTGAGGATGGCTATAGTAATTAGCCTAAATGTTAGCAAAACAAGATAAAAAACAACTTTTTTTCTATGTTTTAAAAGAACCAAGTAATGCAAATGACGGGCTTTTCAAATCCTAGAGTTTCACCATCTATTTTCTATCAGAAGCTAACACAGGAAATAGGTGTAGGAGACTGTTTTCATGTTCAGCCTGCATGAAAAACTCAGAGTGACAGATTATAATCAGAAATAATCATAAAAAGGGGTTTTCAGTGAACCACACCTTTAATTGTTGTACTTGAATAAAGAGAGTACATTTTCTGAGCTGAAGTTTAATGTAGCTACTGTCTTACTCAGTTTAGTCCTGTTTCTTTGTTTCAGGTGATTGGATGTGGATTGATAACAGCATTTTGGACTATACAAACTGGAAATCAGGGTTTCCAAAGTCAGAGATGTGTGTCGCCATCCATTCTGACAGTGGACAGTGGAGCACAAGACCCTGCTTCGAATATAAATCTTACATCTGCAAAAGACCTAAAAGTAGGTTCCTGGTTTTATCTGTCTACAACTCTTTGCACTGAGTCACAATCATTGTAGGTCGTTGAGACCCATTTTTAGCATCTGACTTTTATTTTAATTGTTTTTAATATATCTTAATTTTACTAATGATGTTTAATTTTTGTGTTAATGCCTTTTGATCACATCTTAATTAGTTTTAATGCTTCTTTAATCTCTTGACATGTCATTTTGGATATGTGTTGTTCAGCACCTTGGGCTTCCATAACGGAAGTGGAAGGTCTTATATAGAAAAGTTTGATTGATTCATTGACCCAACAGTTTCTTATGCTGTTTGCATTATTTTTGTAGTTATAAACCCCACAGAAAAGGCTCCATCTGCTGGTAAGTAAATGTACATGAAACCAAATTTATTCCAAGGCATGTCTCAAGTTGAAGTTCTGCTTGTGTCTCCTTAGCTCCTGTTTTTCAAGAGGTTTCACATGGATCTGCTGGCATCCCTGTAGCTATAGTGTTAATTATAATTGCTTTAGTTGGACTTGGGGCCTTCTTCCTGTTCCGTAATCGAATACAAATACCCACACCTGTCCTGGGAGAGTGCACGTTTGACAACAAGCTCTACTTCAACAATCCAAACCGAGCTCCTGTGGACACTAAAGGCTTGGTGGTCAACATAGAGCAGAACGAACAAGCACAGAAAACATGAGACTAAAAAGACTTTGGAAAAGATCTTAAAGAAATGCTCCAGTGTTATTTTCATCTTTTTCAGAAGCAAAAAGATGTTAATAAAAATTATAAGTCTGACGTCGTACTTAAGTAAACACAAGATTTTACATACTGATGTTTTTAAAAGCACATTAATAAAAATAAGTTTAATTAATTTGCACAAACTTGTTGGGACTGTTTCAATCAGTGCAACCAAGAACGTATGTGTACATGTTTAAACTCACCAAAGGTTAGCTTGTTTTATTACAAATCGACAGATCTATAAAAACTAAAGTGTTGTGAATATTCTCAAGGGGCTGTTTGCCACTCTCGTATTTCCTGGTGATTCTGTAAATAAATGTTAAAATAAATTCATCTGTCTGTTTTATTCTGACTAAATATTTCAACTGCAGAGGCCAGCCTGAGATCACCAAATGCAGTGGGATGCAAAAGTCTGGGCAGCCTTGTAAATTTTCATGATTTTCCAGTATAAATCGTTGGTTATTAAGATAAAATATTTCAGTTAAATGAATCATATAGGAGACACACACAGTGATATTGGAGAAGTGAAACAAAGTTTATAGGATTTACAGAAATTGTGCAAAAATTGTTTAAAAAAATTGGGCAGGTGCATACATTTGGGCACTGTTAAGAAAAAGTATTTAAGGGGCCAATTGTAAGTTTCCTCATCTTTGAATATTCTTTGAGGAGTAGCAACGTGGGGTCTCAGAACAACTCACATGAGCTGAAAACCGATTGTTCACCATCATGTTTTAGGGGAAGGATACAGAAAACTCTCCTTACTTTACACAAGGAGGTGCTGTATGTGAGAGTGATGCAAAGGAAGCCTTTTCTCTACTCACAGCACAAACAGAGCTGCTTGAGGTTTGTTAAAGCACATCTGGACAAGCCAGCTTCATTTTAGAATAAGGTGTTGGACTGAGGGCTGCGCAGTGGCGCAGTGGTTAGAGCTGTTGCCTTGCAGCAAGAAGGTTCTGGAATCGCTTCCCTGCCTGGGATCTTTCTGCATGGAGTTTGCATGTTCTCCATGTGCATGCGTGGGTTCTCTCCGGGTACTCCGGCTTCCTCCCACAGTCCAAAAACATGACTGTTAGGTTGATTGGTCTGTCTAAATTGTCCTTAGGTGTGAGTGTGTGTGCATGGTTGTTTGTCCTGTGTGTCTCTGTGTTGCCTTGAGATGGACTGGCTCTCTGTCCAGGGTGTACCCCGCCTAATTGCCCGTTGACTGCTGGAGATAGGCACCAGCCCCCCTGCGACCCTACGTGGACTAAGCAGGTCCAGAAGATGGATGGATGGTGTTGAACTGATGAAACTAAAACTGAGTCATTTGTGCATAACAAGGGATGTTATGCATGGAGGAAAAAGAACACAGCATGTCAAGAAAAACACCTGCTGCCTACAGTAAAACACGGTGGTGGTTCCATCATGCTGTGGGCTGTGTGGCCAGTGCAGAGTCTGGGAATCTTGTTAATGTTGAGGGATGCATGGATTCCACTTAATATCATCAGATTGTGGAGACTCCAGGTATCAATGACAACACTGAAGCTGCACCGGGGCTGGATCTTTCAACAAGACAACTACCCTAAACACTGCTCACAGTCTGCTAAGGCGTTCATGCAGAGGAACAAGTAGAACGTTCTGGAATGGCCATCTCGGTCCCCAGACCTGAATAGTATAGACAATCTGTGGTGTGAGTTAAGAAGACCTGTCCATGCTCAGAAGCATCAAACCTGAATGAACTAGAGATGTTTTGTAAAGAAGAATGGTCCAAAATACCTTCAACCAGAATCCAGACTCTCATTGCATTTAGAGGCTGTTATTTCTGCAAAAGGAGGAATTTATTTTTTGTGGTGCCCGCATTTATGCACCTGCCTAATTTTGTTTAAACAATTATTGCACAATTTAAATCCTATTAACTTTCTTTCATTTATCAAATATCACTGTGTGTCTCTCCTATATGATGTATTTAACTAAAAATTTTATCGTAATAACCAACAGTTTTATAAAGGAAAATAATGAAGGTTAACAAGGCTGCCCAAACCTTTGCATCCAACTGTGTTTATCTCAAACATTTGTTATGAAATCCTCCTAAAATGATAAAATGTCAAATTCTGATTGTGTTTTTATTTTTAAATTTACAAAATTAATAAATGAAAACAATTTAAACAGGCCTAGAATTTCCAACATTCATTTTCAAAATAATTAAAGCATTTTAGATCTAACTTACTACTACTAAAGCTTTCCGGTGAAATATAACCAAATTTGAATTTGCAAAAGAAAAAAAAACTACAAGATCTTTAAACACATAACATTATTTTCCCAAGCCGACTAGGAGCTCTTAGCTAATTTAACGTATGTGTTAAATGACATTTGCGTTACTTTCCATTATGTTTATGTACAAATGTTATCTTTAAATACCCTCAACAGAAATGGCACTTTGAGAATAAACCTGTGATGTCACTTTAACATTAATTGCACATTTATTCTACCATTATAAAGTTCAGTGAATATGTAAAATAATAAATCCATGTTGTTTGTGAGATATTTTTTTTTATTTTTGCTAAGTTAACTTGATTAGAACACTGCTCATTTTTATTGATGATATGTTTATTTTGCTAAAAAAAATATATCTATATAATAAAGAATCTTTTCTTTTGAAAATGTAATTTTGTGTGGATATATATATATATATATTTTACCTCTACTAAAACCGTTATACTGGAATTTATCCCATTTCTTCCAAACTACTCCCAGGAACAACAGTTTCCTGTCATTCTAGAACATTCCCATCCCACTGAAAACTCTTCAGAAGACGCAATTTCTCTGTACTGTAATATTTTTTATTAAGTTGAAAAATGACTAATTCAAACAAACTGCTTACCCCCACATTTAAAAAAATCTGCATTTTACACTTAAAATAATCAAATGTCTAAGGTCTAAAATGCATCATTTCATTCTAAAAATTAGGTATTAGTTTTAGCAGAAACCTGGTTCAGTAGCAGCGACTCAGAAATCCTTCTAGATCGGCTAAAATCCGCTCTTACAGACGGATCCTGCAAAGCATTTAAGCTCAACAATGAGAGGTTGATGGTTGAAAGCTTTATAAATATCAATGTTTTTAAATGTGCCTTTATTCTTCACCAGTAAAGCGATTCCCTAGAGACCATGGATGCAGGGTGATGTAAAAGCGTTGAAGGCCCAAAAATATATATATTTTGGAGATCTTGTCAAAGATGGAGCTTTTCTGCAGCTGTAATGTGACAGTGGTCAGGTCTTCACTCACTTCCTCCAGTAGGAAGCAGGATTTCCTCCAGCTCTCTGCCTACTGACTTAAATAATTTTAATCTTAACCTGGAGCCCGGTGCACGTTTTGAGAGCAGGTCCTGGAAAAAAAATCCTGTCTAATCTCCTCACAGCTACATTTTAAGACAACAAAAGTTCTTGTTGAATGATGTAAGCTTTCTGGGTTTATCTCAGATAACGTATTAACATTTTTAAACCTGGAAAAAAGTGCTTCGATAAAGTTATTTAGAAATTTCTCCTCAAATTTCTGTGTTTCTCTGGATTCCCCCCCACCAAACACCCTAAGCTGACTTTTATGACTTGGAGGTGAAATCGTCGTTCCTCCTCTTCCCCAAAAAGTGTAGTGAAAGCTCTTGGAAGTTGTAGACATCCAACCAACCACAGCTAACCATGTGACAGGATATCCATCACTGTAGTTAAGAGGAGAGAAACACCATGACTTTGTGTCATTACTGCTCTCTGTTGTGCACCTCTGCACACACCAGTCCCATACTCTCATTACTGAAAAATATCTTCAAACTAAGTCTAAACAACACTCTGAGGATGTTATCCAGGTCAGAACTTCCATTGGTTCTTTGTCTCCTGCAACTTGTCTCCATCTCTGCTGACATAGGTAAGTGTCTTAAGCACATTCCTACTCCAATGGTGATGTACATTACTTTGGTTGTGTTCTTCTCCAGACAATGGCATCTTCCTCATCTTCAATCAGGACCACAACAAGTGCATAAAAGCAGAGAGCGCCACATCGGTAACTCTGGATCAATGTGATCCCCACGCCAAGGAGCAGCAGTTTCGCTGGGCCTCTGAGTCTCGCCTTCTCAGCCTGTCCCTCAAATTGTGTCTGGGCGCCGCAGAGATTAAAGACTGGGTGAAGGTTCTCCTCTTCGAGTGCAACGAGAGCAGTGTTCTTCAGCACTGGCAATGCAAGAACGAGACCCTTTTTGGTCTTAAAGACCAGGACCTGCACCTAAACTATGGCAACCGTAAAGAGAAAAATGTAATGATCTATAAAGGCTCGGGGGTGTGGAGTCGCTGGAGGATTTTTGGCTCTCAGGGGGACCTTTGTTCAAAGGGGTTTCAAGGTAGGTGTCTTGCGTCTGCAATAAACAAATTGAATTATGCTTCTGCAGTGGTTGCTAAACTGGAGGACCCTTCGGTTTTTCCAAATCTGGAAATGTTTTAAGATGTTTCTACATTAATTAAAAGGTATTTAATATTTAATTAGGTCTTTTAGAATCAATCTGATAGTAAATTTACTTTATTTTCAGTGACAAACAGAATGAAGACTACTTTCTTGATTTTTTTTTTACTTTCCAAGATTTCTGAAAAGGATCTGCTGGGAAAGTAAAAAACTAGCCTGGAAGTCAAATTAAAGCAAAGCTATATAAAAGCAAAAGATGAAGGTGGAAATGTCCTACGAACTGTGATGATTCTTTCCATCTGTAAATCTGTCTCCTCAGAGGTTTTCACTATTGGGGGGAACGCATTCGGAAGACCTTGTCAGTTCCCCTTTAGGTACCAGGAGAAATGGTACGCTGAATGCACAAAGGATGGCCGCTCAGATGGACAGATGTGGTGTGCAACAACAAGAGATTACGACAAAGAGAAGAAGTGGGGGTTTTGTGCAACCAAAAGTATGTGCAACATAACTTTTCAACCTCTAATTCCTACATAGTTTACATCAAAAAAATACATGTCTGCTGTTAAAAAGGACCATGTAGTGTCACTGGATGTAAATCCTATGTATTCTTTAGCATCGACTGGCTGGAACACAGACCCAGTCACTGGAGTTCAGTATCAGATGAACTCACAAGCAGCTCTGACCTGGTCTCAGGCCCGGAGGAGCTGCCAGCAGCAGGGAGCTGACCTCCTCAGCATCGTAGAGCTCCATGAACAGTCGTTCATTTCCGGTAACAAGCGAGCTGACTTTCTGCCATCTACATAAACGATGCTTCTGAATTTGATCTTCTCCTTAATGCTTGTGTTCATTCAGGGTTGACGAATCATTTGGGAATTTCTCTCTGGATCGGGCTGAACAGCTTGGATTTTGAGAGCGGGTGGCAGTGGAGCAATGGGAACCCATTCAGATATTTAAACTGGGCTCCTGGTTAGTGAGGACATTAGTATATGATATGTTTGATTAGCACAGGAGAAAATGAAGTTAAGATGTTCTACACGAATCCAACAGGCCATCCCTCCTCAGCACCTGGGCTCACCTGTGCAGCTCTAAATGCTGTAAAAGCATCAAAATGGGAGAGCAAGTCCTGCGACAAAAGAATTGGTTACATTTGTAGGAAAGGAAACTCAACCAGATTGCCTCTACCACCAAGTAAGTTTCACACTTGAAATGCAAAGAATCTGGTTAATCGTTAAAGTCATGGTCATAGTTAACTGATTTTGTTCCTGGAGGTAAAGGACCCAGCTTCTGTCCCAGTCACTGGGTTCCTTATGGAGGAGACTGTTACTACCTGGAGAGGACTAAGAAGATGTGGAAGGATGCTTTGGCTGCGTGCCACAAGGATGGAGCAGATTTGGCCAGTATACACAATATAGAGGAGCAGAGCTTCATCATATCCCAGTCTGGTTACCGTAAGCACACGAATTCCCACAATCGAACATACCAGGGTTTCTTTATTTTAAACTATCTTTGTATGTAGTTAAAATGCCATTGACCCTCTGTGGAGTTCAATTATTGCTTTTCATTATTTGCTAGTTTTCTGTTTGCTAATTTCTCTATGAATTATAGTTTCAAGGTTTGCTGTCTTGCAATAGGCCACTGTGACAGAAATATGGGAGGAGCCAACTCTTTATGTGGTGCGATACTTTTAAATTGGCATACATCTCAGCGTACCGGAACCTTTCCCTGGCGTTATCGGTAGATTTTACAGCTATTTATCTGTTTCCGAAAAAATCCCTAACCCTAAAAATTTCAAATAGTTATTTCCAAACAAATATGAGACAACATTTGAAAATGTGTAGAGGAAAAGTGTCCATATAATATTTCCAAAGAAAAGTCCAAATGCTATTCCAAAAATTAGAGACATGGGGTAAAAGTGATGAAAAGAATGTAAAAAATATTAGTTTCTGAATAAAGTTGAAATGCTGAGATCAATAAAAGAAAACAAATGTTGAGGAGGAAAACAAATTGAAAATGTTATTGTAGGAATAAAGATGAACCATTTTATTTTCATCTGCATTATTTACATCTCAGTACAGACAGATGTGCTTTGGATCGGCCTGAACGACCAGAAGAACCAGATGCTGTTTGAATGGTCCGATCACTCCCACGTCACCTTCACCCAGTGGCAGAGTGACGAGCCATCCCATGATAACAGCTTCCTGGAAGACTGTGTCCTCATCCGGGGAAAAGTAACGTCCATCGTTGTTCAAATGTCAAAAAAATTCAGCTGCTCTACTTTTCTAATTTCCCTAATTTCTCTCAAACAGGACGGAAAGTGGGCGGACCAGATGTGTGAGAAGACGTATGGGTACATTTGTAAGAAGAAGGCCTCTGTTAAACCATCTGAAGGTGCCCAGCAGGAAGTCAACCCAGGATGCAAGCTTGTGAGTTATTGTTTTCCTGTTGATAACACTGGACTATAACATAAAAACTGTATCAGCTTCAGAAGTTCACAGTGGTTTGTTTTTACAGGGTTCTGTCCGATTTGGCTCCTATTGTTATAACATAGGAGCTGAAACAAAAACCTTTGAAGAGGCGAAGCAGGCATGCTCAGTGGCTGGTGCCAACCTATTGGACATCAATGATAGGTAATGAGTTAAAGGGTTTACATCAGTTTTCTACAAACCAACGGCTGCAAATGACAACAAATGAACGACCTCAGGAATAAACCAAAGGCTTTATTTTTGTTCAGATTTGAGAACGCTTTCCTCATCAGTTTGGTAGGACTGAGACCAGAAAAGTATTTCTGGACAGGTTTGTCCAACGTGGAAGACATACATACTTTCAAATGGACAACCATGAGAAAAGTCACCTTCACTCATTTCAACGTGGGCATGCCAGGTAAAGCAAACATCCCTCCTGTTAGCTACAGCTTCAAAAATACTGTGGTTCACTTCTTCATTAATGAGTTTATTTAATGTATTGTGCTTTTTACTCTCTTTCTTTACATGTTCAACTAAAGGCAGGAAACAGGGATGTGTTGCCATGACCACTGGGATTTTTGCAGGATTATGGGATGTTATCAGCTGCAACAACAAGCAGAAGTATATTTGTAAGAAGCTGGCAGAGGGGGCCCCGGTAACCACAGTTCCTCCAACCACCCCAGCTCAGAACTGTCCATCTACATGGACCCCTGCTGCCAAAAGGAATGTCTGCTACAAAGTAGGAGGACAGACTGCTTTCAATTGATATGCATACTGTTTTATAAACCTGAAAAATACCTTTTTTCCGCATTCATCAAAAAGCTTTACAGGGAGATGAAAGAACACAAGAAGACTTGGCAGGAAGCAGAAGACTTCTGCAAGGCCATGGGTGGACACCTGATGAGTATACACAGTTTGCTGGACCTGGAATATTTAGCGTATGCTTACTTCCATTAACATCTTCCATATGTCAAAGCTACTATCAGGCATTGTAACTGAAATTAGGTGATTTTGTGTTTTCTACTTTCTTAAAGATACCAAATGTCTGACCCAGCATGGATAGGTGCCAAACTAAAGGGTACCAATGAAGGTTATGCCTGGAGTGATGATTCAAACGTAAGCGTCATCTGATTTTAATCCACAAATAATGTCCTAAGTTGCTGATTTCTTGTTTTAAACTTAAGCATTACTATGTGCTTTTCCTAAATCTCTGACCTAGTTTGGCTATCAAAATTGGGGCTTCGGAGAACCAAACAACCACAATGACAATGAACATTGTGCAGAAGTCCAGGCCTTCTACGGACGTCACTGGAATGATCGGCACTGTGAGGTCTATAATGACTGGATTTGCCAGATACGCAAAGGTAAAACCTCAATGAATTCCACAAACTGAGGTGATTTATACATACTATGAATTTCTGTTTGAGTTGGTAACGATGACGGTTTTTGTGTTTTCAGGAGTTACACCCAAACCTGAGCCTGCCTTGGTTGTTGAAGGTAGGTTTCAGTGATGGTCTGAATGATTTTCCACTATAATACTGAGACAAGAAGAGAATAAAAAATGTCTGGTGTTAGCATTTTACCAATTATGATGTTGTTCCCAACTTCAACACCAGACAGCCGTTGGCATAGTTAATGACAAATGACTTGTATAGGGCTTGACTGAGTCAGAGGACTCCAAAATGCTTTACACAACAAGGCAAGGACCATACAGTCAATCAGTCATTCACCCACTCACACCCACATTCAAGCACAAGTGATGATGGGCTACAATACAGCCACATCTACACTGGGGCACACTGAAGAGACAACGCTGCCGAACATAGGAGCCACTTTCACCAGGCAAGGACACAACGACTGATACTGACAGAGCCTGGGTTTGAGCTGGCAACCCACCAATTACAGGGCAAACTCCTGACCCCTGAGCCGCCCTCACCCCCCATAGGTTATGACTTCCTGTCAGCTGTTTATTCTCCTTGCAGAGTACAACACCACAGAAGATGGATGGCTCATATACAACGACAGTCATTACCTCATCAATACTGACACCTTACCAATGGAAGCTGCCAGAACCTACTGCAAAAAAAACTTTGGTGAACTTGCAGTCATAACAGGAGAAAGTGAGAGGAGGTTCCTCTGGAAACAAGTGAGAAATACATTTCATTATAAAACAGACTAGGTCAAAATGATGTTGCATCTATTCATACACCAAAGCCCACTGGTACAAATGGTTAACATGTGGGTTTTAACAAATGTAAAGCCCATTGTGTTTATGTCCATACAGATAGCCAAAGGTGCAGAAAACCAGTACTACATTGGCATGATTGTGAATCTGGATAAATCTTTCAGGTAAGTCAAACAGGATTATTAAAGTGAAAAACTCAGAATATTGGTCTTCAGTATTTGGCAGAAGTGTGACATTGTGGCATCATCAAGTCATCTCCATGTTCTTGTTCTGCTCAGCAACTGAACCAGGTTAATTCACTGTGCTGATTGAAATCACCTGGTTTAATTGCTGAGCAGAACAAAAACATGACATGGAGATGACTCGATGATGCCACAATGTCAAACCTCTGGCATTTGGTCTCAATCAAGTCTGTGTGCATAGTAGAAATTGTAAGGTTTTCTTATTTCTAGTTGGCTGGATGGGACACCAGTGACTTACACTGCTTGGGAACGCAATGAGCCCAACTTTGCCAACAATGAAGAAAATTGTGTGACTATGTACAAGAGCATGGGTGGGTCTAATACAGAAACTTATGATAATCAGTTGTTTTTGTAGGTATTAACTAATAACTAAACTACACTTTAGGGTTCTGGAACGACATTAACTGTGGTGCAGAGATTCCCTTTATCTGCAAAAGAAGCAACAATTTTGTCAACACAACTATGGCACCAACAACAGTCCCTCAAGGAGGATGTTCACCTGAGTGGGTTTCCTTCCAACGAAAGGTAATACACAAAAGCATCCAGCAAAGACGGACACCAAGCACAGCATGCCTATTTTTATGACCAATTAATTTTTGATACTTTAAAACCAAGTTTTACTGATCTGGACTCAGATTCTAAAATCTGAACTCACGTAGTTCTTGGAGCACATTCTGTTGCTGAACCTAGACCTGATCAACTGCAGCAACCCCAGATCATGGCACTGTCCCCACAGGCTTGTACTGTAGGCATTAGGCATGATGCACCCATCACTCTGGAACAGGGTCCATTTGGACTCATCAGACCACATGACCTTCTTCCATTGCTCCAGTGTCCAATCTTTATGCTCCCTAGCTAATTGAAGCCTTTTCTGGTTTGCCTCACTGATCAGCAGTTTTCTTACGGCTACACAGATGTGTCCCAATCCCTTTGGTTCCCTTCACATTGTGCGTGTAGAAATGCTCTTACTTCACAATTAAACATAGCCCTGAGTTCTACTGTTGATTTGTCTTCTATTTGATTTCAAACGTTTAAGTGATCACCAATCACAATCATTCAGGATTTTTTTCTCGACACTTTTCTTCCTCAAAGACGATGGGTTTCCACTAAAATGTACTTGCGTACTCACTATACTTACACTATATTTCCAGGTTGTAATACTGAGTTGGACAGTTCTTAACCCAACATCAGTAGTTTTTGCAATCTCCTTAGATGTTCTCTCTGCTTGATGCATGCCAGTGATCTGACTCTTCTCAAACAGACCATCTTTTCCACAGCCACCAGATGTGTCTTTCCGCATGGTTGTTTAAGAAATGAGAAACAACTCATTGTACCAGTCAGGGTTAAATAACTGCTGAAAGATAATCATCCATGCAGTAATTATCCAATAGGAGGCCCGTACCTATTTAGTTAGTTAAAACAAGGTGGTGACCCCGTTTTCTTTGCCATACAGTGTATGTGAAACATGTGGCACATGTCAAACAGGATAAGAAAATAACCTTTATCCTATTCTTTCATTCATGGGACAATGCTGGTAAAAGAGTTAAGTGGTCCACCGTAATTGGAAGGTTGCTGGTTTAAGCTCCACTCAGTCTGTCGCTGTTGTTGTGTCCTTGAGCGGGACACTAAAGGTGGTTTTCCAGGAACGCTACTCAGAGCAACTTGGACCGATGCAGCTCGACCCGACCACTGTTTCCAAGGGCACGGTTCGGTATTTTCCCTCTACTTTGTCCCCTATTTTAAGTCCCTGCTCCGTTGACCTGGTAAGGCTGAGTAGGGCGGGCAACGTAATTATGGCTGCTGACTGGCTAGGGGGCAGAGTCACTGGTTGCTCCAGAGTTTTTTGCTTTCTGTTTCTCTGCCTGCAGCCATTTCCTGGTTCAGAGTGTGACAAAAAAACATAAAACTGAGCAAAATGTCCAGCAACAGCAACACTTTTCAGCTCAGTTGTGTTTCTGTGGAGCATACAAGTTACCTTACACTGTTTACTGATCACCTCATGTTATTTTGTCACGAGAAAAATCCCCCCCCCCCTGCACCTATGAGGGGCGCATCCACTTTCAGTCATGGAGCTAGCATGGGAACAAAACTATACTCAGATGGACTGATTTAAACCACTCTGTACAGAGCTGTTTTAGGCTGAGTAGCGTTCCTGGAAAACCACCTTTAACCCATCTTGCCTGCTGGTGGTGATCGGAGGGACCGGTGGTGCCTGTGTACGGCAGACTCACCTCTGCCAGTATGTCCCAGGCCAGCTGTGGCTACAATGTAGCTCATCAACACCAGGGTGTGAACATGTGTGTGAATGGATGAATGACTGATTGTGTTGTAAAGCACCTTGGGGGGTTCCTGGATGCTAGAAGGCACTATTTCAAATACAGGCCATTTACTGTTTAATTTTTTTTTGACATCCAAGGATATAAAATAGATAGACGTGACTTGGGCTTCCTATTTCAGGGAGGTACTTGGCTCCTGAAAGGAAAAGTTGTCCCTTTAGGCCAGTCAGGTAAAATGAAGAAATATACATTACCACAAAGTTTGGTAAAATTATCTGGAAGTTGTCATAGTGGAAACAGACCTATTGTCTCAGTCAGTGATGAGTGACTTTAGTCACCGTTATCAAAGGCTAATACCAAGAAAAGATTAGATTGGCTTCAGTTCTTATACTTAGTAAAATGTGTTGAAATAATCTACACTTTAATGGGCATTGGGAACTAATACAATACATTTTTCTTCTTCACATAGTGCTACAAATTATTTACGGGCAATAACAACAAGAACTGGAGGGATGCCAGGACGTATTGCATCCAAGAGGGAGGAAATCTGGTGTCCATAGCCAACAAAATGGAGCAAGGTCAAACGTACTATCAATGTTGATGCATGTTACTGTTGATTAAGTTCACAATTTTTGTTGTTTGAAAATGTATTACATTTCACACAACGAATACAATTTTTGTGTTTTTTACAGCATTCTTAACAACCCAGTTGTTACATCACAATGATGATGTGTGGATTGGCATGAATGATATCAACCGGGAGATGCATTTTGTGTGGACAAACGGCAAAGCCATCACATTCACCAACTGGGCTAAAGGCTATCCCAACTCATATTTCAATGAGGTTATTGTTGTTTCTTGTCTTCTCCTTCTGGTTAATCAATAAAAAAACTATGAAGGACCAATTTTGCATATTGTAAACCAGTTTTAAAGTTTAAATAATGGTGTATTTGACAGGTGTTTGACTGTGTCATCATGGTGGGGAGCACCAATAAACTTAAAGGACAGTGGAAGGTGGAATACTGTGCTGTAAAACGTGGCTTCATCTGTAAAAAAAATGTTGGTGAGAACTTAGTTTCTTGTGTGAAGCAGTAATGCTTTACAGCAATCCATGTTTACACCTCAGGACTGATATGCACTAGAGAATAGAATAGAATGTATTAATCCCACAGTGGTGAAATTCACTTGCTCCAGCACCACATATAGAGAAATGGAATCACTTAAATAATAACAAGATTGCAGGTAAACGCACAAAGGCAATAAGCGTAATAGAGTCATTATAAACTTCAACTACTAAAAGAAACAAATACAAAGAAAAATTGGGTTTCCAGAACTATGCAGCATAAGGAACACAGACATACTAAAATCAGGTATTTATTGAACACATACTGAGTATTGCATTGATGTTACTGTGTACCAGGATAACGCCAGTACCAATTAAACGGAGGAACTATACACTCTTACTGCAGAGGGGAAGAATGACCTACGGTAGCATTCTGTTTTACATCAGGGATGTCTCAGTCTGCCTCCGAAGGAGCTGTCCATGGTCTCCAAAGTGGAATGCAGTGGGTGGGAGGGGTATTCCAAGATGGAGGTCATCTTCACCAGCATCCTCCTTTTACACATCTCCTCAACTGAATCTACTTGGCAGCCTAGAACCAAGCTAGCCTTTTTAAACTAGCTTGTTCAGTCTCTTTCTGTGTATACCTGGTTAGCATTTATAGTAATATGTTTATCATGGTGGCGCCTCAGAAGAGTCAATCTTATGGAGCTAAAACAAACTATAAAACAAACATCTGATCACAATAGGAGTCAAACAAGAGTCAATGAAGAAGTTTTCTGAATCGCGAGAGCCCAAAGACAAATAAGGATTCAAATTGGATGCAAACCTAATGATGATTCTATTGTGCTTAAAAATACAACTTTAATATGTTTTGTCTGTGCATGTTTTAGCTTTCTCTGGGTTTGTAATTATTTCTAAATATGATTGTCAGATGGTAGTGACCACATTCCGTTCCATCACTGATCAATCACTCACCCTAGACCCACATAAGCTCTCTTCTTACCTCATTCGTTGATGCTTTCTCATCTCTACTCGAGGTTCTTGTATCATACATTGTCGAATCCTAAGCGTGCCACATGTACCCTGGCTACCGCTGAGCAGTGCTGCCAGCCAGCTGACGCCACCGGCCAGCAGTCTTGCCCATGGTCCTATGAACTAGCCACTTGTAGCTGGTAGACTAACATGCCCAAGGACATCTTATATTGATCAATGTCTTCGAAAATGTTTGTGATCACCCAACGCTCATACTTCCGTGTTTGGGTTTGCCGACAGGCTACAGCCTTTCCCTGTGGTCATATGATTCCTCCTCACAGGATCATTGTCATATTTACTCAGTTAGTCAATTGTAAAGTGGCTAGCCAACATTCTAGTTTTGGAGTTTGCTTCCAGCACAATTCCTCCATGCTTTAGACTGTGAACACAGCTGGTTTGTTTGATTTAGTGATGAATCGCTCCTGTAGAAACTAATAAAGGCTGAGGAGACATTTAAGCTGTTAGATTAAGATGTTAAAAACACAAACTGACAGTGGGAAAGAGAGGTTCAGCATCATTTTTATAACAGTGAATTAAAACTGACTCCAGGGGCTACTAAAAGCAAGCCAAAATTGCTGAGTGTTCTTTTAAAGCGAAACATTGCATTCACTGTCGTAAAAACGAACCTGAAACTCTCCTCCTCCCTGTGTGCTCATGTTTTCATGCTTTCATCCAGAGCTACCAACTTTTGCAGCTTTCCATGTGGGAGAGTGGGGGTGGATGACCCATGTATTCACCACCCTCTGCTGTTCGTGAACAAGGGGGGGACACTCATTTCACCTCACTCCATTGTCCATGAGAGCATGTGAAGGGGTCAGATGCGTGTGTCTCACTCTCATCTCATGAGGAAAGCCCTTTTAATCTTAACTGCTGAAATGTCTCCTCAGCCTTCATCAGTTTATACTGGACCGGTTCATCACAGTCAGCAGTGTTCACGATCTAAAACAAGCAGGACTCGTGTGTCTGAACTCTAGTGATTCAGAAAACTCCTGATGTTTACTCTTGTTTGACACCTAATGTGGTCAGATACTCTTTTTTTTTAGCTTCATCAGATAAATGTTTTCTTTGTTTCTTCGGAGGCTCCATTATGATAAGCATGTTACAATAAATGCTAGCCAGGTATAGCTCGTTTGTTATTAATGCCACCATAAATGTATTCTTTTTTTCTTTCACTGCCTTACTACAACTAGGTCTTTAGACACTGACTAAAGTACCAGAATCTTGTCCTCTCAGACTCCCAGATTGCAGTACCAGCCACTACTGTGTCATCAAAGACCTTTCACAAGATTGGCAATGACTCCTACAAGCTGGTGACCCAGAAATTGAGATGGGATGAAGCACGAAGAGAGTGCCAGGCAGATGATGCAGATCTGGCCAGTATACGGAACCCTGTGAGCCAGGCATTCATCACTCTGCTGATTTCCAAGCACAAAGAACCAATTTGGATTGGTCTCAACAACAATGTGGTACTCATCTGCTTTTAAATAAGATCATCAAGCTCTAAAGGTTTCTACGATAATAAAATTGTCACTCGTATCTTTTTCAGACTGGAGGACGCTTCAAGTGGGTTGACAACTGGCTTCTTACGTCTACCAAATGGGGTGAGAATGAGCCAAAAAGAAACTATGGCTGTGTGTACATAGACGTGGACCAAGCATGGAAGACAGCACCATGCACCAGCACCTACTATTCTATTTGCAAAAGGTCGCCAGGTCAGGCAATCACTTTGTAACTTTTTTGCCTTTTAGAACAAATAATGCACATGGTTCACTTATAGTTCATGACACTGGGGGGGATGTCTTTCTCTTATTTCAGAGGTAGCTCCAACTGAACCACCACAACTTCCTGGGAACTGTCCAGAGACAAAGGGTTATAGAAACTGGATTCCTTTCAGAGGCCATTGTTATGCCTTTTTTTTTTCAATGGCAGAAAACTGGGCCTATGCCTCCGTTTCTTGTATAAGAATGGGTATGTTTGTGAAGAACACTGCTGGTTTATTGATACATTTTTGTTAGCATGAACTGTAACAATGTGTCACTGCGGTTACCAGGTGCATCATTAGTGAGTATAGAGGACCCTGTTGAGGGGACATTCATACAACAGAATCTGGACATTCTGCAGGACGGTGTAAAAAGTTTCTGGATTGGTCTGCACAAGTCCTATGATGGTGAGTATACTGGATTGAAGTTTAGAGGACATATGCAAAACTCCAGTTTTACAGTCTTTTGAGCTGCCATGTGGTTCTCTACTGTCTCTATTGGCACTCCTAATTTGGAAAAAAATAATAATAACAAAGACAAAACATCAATTTTGTGACTAATCAAGGAGACAAGATGGCACCGATTATGGCTGGCTCGTCGCGAGCCCCACCAAGCAACAGCTGTTTTTTGTGTTTACTACTTTTTCTTTTTCTTTATTTTTTCACGAGTAGCACATGTATCCTTGTGTACGACCGACAAACCCTACTGGACATAAAAGACAGATTTTCTCATTGATTCCCGGAGTTCAGGTCTTTCATCACGGACCCGCCGTTTGCAGATCCCCCATTCACCTCACCTGAGACGCCTTTGTTCTGGGCCCGTGGAGGCCGCAAGCGCCGACGCAGAGGGAGAAGATCTGGCGTTCTGGTTCGACTTAGACGGTGCACTAACATACCACCATTACCCAGTTTACTACTGGCTAATGTGCAGTCCCCGGAGAACAAGCTGTGCGAGCTTCGGGCTCGGATCTCATTCCAGCGAGAGACGCGGGACTGCAGCGCGATCTGCCTCATAGAAACCTGGCTATCGGACAAAGTACCGGACACCGCAGTACAACTACCGGGGTTCTCCGTGCACCACGCGGACAGGTCACAGGAGCTTACTGGGAAAAGCAGAGGTGGCGGTGTGTGTTTCATGATCAACAACAGCTGGTGTGATTATGCGAACGTGCACCAGGTCAAATCCTTCTGCTCTCCGGACCTTGAGTACCTGATGATTAAGTGCCGGCCATTTTGGCTACCGAGAGAATTCACAGCAGTGATTATTACAGCTGTTTACATTCCCCCACAAGCCTGACACTGACCGAGCACTCAGAGAACTGTACAGCGCGATCAGCAATGAGGAAACCGTGCACCCAGAGGCGGCGTTTATTACGATCGGGGACTTTAATAAGGGTAACCTGAAGAAAGTCTCACCAAAACTACACCAACACATCAATTTCAATACACGTGGAGATCGGATACTCGACCACTGCTACACCTCTTTCCGAGATGCGTACAAAGCCCTCCCCCGCGCCCCATTCGGCCAATCAGATCACCGCTCCATCCTGCTTATACCTGCCTACAGACAGAAGCTAAAACTGGAAGCTCCAACCTTGAGGGCGGTGCATCGTCGGTCAGACCAATCGGAGTCTGCGCTGCAGGATTGTTTTGATCGGGCGGACTGGGAAATGTTTCACGTGGCTGCTAGAGACATTGATGAGTACACAGACTCAGTCTGCGGATTTATCAGGAAATGCGTGGAAGATGTTGTCCCATCCAGAACAGTTAAATCCTTCCCAAATCAAAAACCCTGGATTAATGGAGGTGTGCGAATGGCGCTGGCGGCGCGGAACACCGCCTTTGCCTCCGCGAACACATCAGACTACAAACACGCACATTACCAACTCCAGAAGACGATCAAAGCAGCCAAACGTGAGTACAGAGACAGGGTGGAGCAACAGTTTGACAACCCCCAGAGTATGTGGCAGGGACTAAACACAATCACAGACTTTAGAGGGAGAACCAGCACACCGCAGACCACGGCCTCTGTGTGAGGATCTAAACGCATTCTATGCCAGATTCGACACAGCGAACACCATGAGACCGGACAGTGAGCGCACCGCGGATGACGTCAGTGCGCACACTGTGTCTGAAGAGGATGTGCGGAGGTGCTTCAGGAGGGTGAACGCACGCAAAGCTACTGGTCCGGACGGGATTCCCGGCCGTGTCCTAAGGTCATGCGCGGGTCAGCTTGCTGGAGTGTTTACACACATCTTCAACCTTTCCCTCTCTCTGTCTGTAGTCCCAGCCTGCTTCAAAATGGCCACCATTGTCCCTGTACCCAAATCCTCCACCATCTCCACATTGAATGACTGGCGACCTGTAGCCCTGACCCCCATCGTGAGCAAATGCTTCGAGAAGTTGGTCAGGGACTTCATCTGCTCTGCACTGCCCGATTCACTGGACCCTCTACAGTTTGCATACCGCCACAATAGGTCCACTGATGATGCTATAGCCCTGACACTTCATACTGCCCTGTCACACCTGGAGAAGAGGGACACGTATGTGAGAATGCTGTTTGTAGATTACCGCTCAGCATTCAACACCATTGTTCCCTCGAAGCTGGACAGGAAACTGCAGGATCTAGGACTGAGCAGCTCCCTCTGCAGCTGGATCCTTAACTTTCTGTCTGACAGACGCCAGGTGGTCAGACTGGGCGGCACCACCTCATCCCCCGTCACACTGAACACTGGTGCTCCGCAGGGGTGTGTGCTGAGCCCTCTCCTGTACTCACTCTACACCTACGACTGCACAGCCACGAGAAACTCCAATATCATTGTGAAGTATGCGGACGACGCCACAGTGGTGGGTCTCATCACCAACGACGATGAGACGGCCTACAGGGAGGAGATCAGCGCCCTGACCCACTGGTGTCAGGACAACAGTCTCACCCTCAATGTCACAAAGACAAAGGAGATGATAGTGGACTTCCGGAGGAGCAGAGGAATACACACCGACATCACCATCAACGGCGACGCTGTGGAGAGGGTGAGCAGCTTCCGTTTCCTTGGCGTTCATCTGGCAGAGGATCTTACGTGGTCAGTGCACACGGAATATACAGTGAAGAAGGCACAGCAGCGCCTCTTCTTTCTCAGAAGTCTGAAAAGATTTGGCATGAGCCACCGCATCCTCAGGACCTTCTATCGCTGTGCCATTGAGAGCATCCTCACTGGATGCATCTCCACCTGGTATGGCAACAGCACTGCTTACAACCGCAAAGCTCTCCAGAGAGTTGTGCGATGTGCTGAAAGGATTATTGGAGGTGAGCTTCCCTCCCTCCAAGACATCTACAGGAAGCGGTGCCTGAGGAAAGCGGGGAGGATCATCAAGGACTCAAGTCACCCCAGCCATAAACTGTTCAGACTACTTCCATCAGGAAGGAGGTTCTGCAGCATCCGGTCCAGAACCAGCAGACTGAGAGACAGCTTTTTCCATCAGGCCATCAGACTGCTGAACACGGCGCAGACACCTCACCCTCACTACTGAAACTCCAACATTACACACTTCATACTGTACATTAATGGCACTGTTTTGCACAAACCAACCTCTGTATATTTTATATCTCTTATTTTATTGTTTACTTTATTCATTTGTAAAACACGTATATACACACTATACACACACTCACACACTCACACGCACACACGTAGAACAATATATAAAAAATAAATAATAGTAAAAAAATAAAAAAATAAATAAATAAATAATATACTTGCATAAACATTTAGTAATGTATATACATTACAACTTATACATATTATTACTTAGATTAGCCATTTTTATATTTTACTTGTTTTTACATTACTGTATTTTTGCACAACTCTGTTGCTGTGAAGCTCGCACACAAGAATTTCACTCGCATGTACTGTACCAGTGTACCTGCACATGTGACGTGACAATAAAAGTGATTTGATTTGATTTAAACGAGTCATTTCAACCACTTATGTATGATTGATCTTGTGCAAAGAACATCATGAACACGCTTTGTATGGACGATAAGACTTAGTAAAAAAAATAATTTTATGTCTCCTTTAAAGGTGTGGTTCATTAATTTAATCAGTGTACTTGCAGTGGTCTCTAGTAGGAATGAACGCCTTGTAAGTCATACTCGAGGGGGAAAAAATACAACGGTGCACCATTTCTTGGAACTAAAAGTTGTTCACATCACAGCTGAGCTTCAGACGGCAGGTTTTGGAGTCTTATTTCCTGATATTAGGACAACTTGCCTCGGATTGGATAACAGCAATGACACTCTTCCACTAACTTGCAAAGTTTATGTTTTATCTTCACAAATAACATAAGCCTGGAGGAGCTTCTGCTGTGTGGTGATGTTGCCAATGCTAATGGTTAGCTTCTACTAGGCAAGACATCCACTGCTGATTCCCGGACGTTAAAACAACAACAGCCTTCCCCATCGTGAGTCAAGATCGGTGCAATAAAAGTTTCTGCAAAGTGTCTGCGGGACGCAGAGTGGACATGCTTCTGTTATTTTGTCAACTTGCATTACTTGGTTCTTTAATAACAGAAAAAATAGTTGTACTTTACCTTGTTTTGCTAACACTTTGGTTAATTACTATAGCCACCTCCTACATTTATTTGCAGGCATTAGAGGACGATGTCGCCTACTGCTGCCCGCACCCTCCTCCTCAATGACAGTCCCACGCGTGATCTAACGTGTAGACTCCATCGTCTCTCTTCATGGTCCTGGGTCCATGTGTCCTTATTTTTATGGCTTCTTTAATCCAGCTTTTGTATTTTTGTTGTTTATGATCCTTGTTTTGTCTCAGTCCATATAATGATTTTCTCTTGTGCAGTGGTCTGTTACGGCTGATTTCTTTATTGTGATTTCTGATTCTTGTTTTGCTGCTCTTGTGTGTCTTCGGTTGTGTTTCCTTCTCACATTCCTTTCTA